CTCACTTTGATGCAAAAGTTGAGGACGCCTTGTGGCCACGAAGCTCGCAGCTATGGTGCCGACATTTCCAGGCAGCCTAGGAGATTTCATAAAGAGGTGAACTGCAGGCAAAGTGTGGCTGACAAGAAATCTTAAGTAAGTTGAAGGGATTCCGAGAGAAGATGAGCCTGATTTGAGTGTAATTTCAAATATGAAGAAAGAGTTGGGAGATTGGTTCAGTGATCCGAACCGCATCCATTGTCAGTTGGAAGTGCAAATTGAGTCTGTAACTGAGATGCCGGAGGACCTTCAGAGGACTGGTATTTCCAGATTCTGTCACTTCTGTGATTATCAACCTTTCAGAGGTCCAGTTCGAAGCAGCGCTTGTCTGTGTATCTCCTTGTCGGGCTGGACTAGTACTGGCAGCTGCTGAAGGATGGGATAATTTGTACCTCAGTTGGCTTGGTAGCCCAGGAGACGGTTTTTGGGTGGATTGCCTAGGGAATAGTAGCCGGTAATATGGCCCATTCCTCTTGTCAATTCCTCTTGCTGCATGATGTGTCGGATCGGGTCTCGCGCAACTTGTGGGACTTGGAGGTTGTTGATGTTCCGGACGAGGATGATGGCCAGCACTCTTGTTCTTATAGATTTCAACTCTTCAGTTTGTAAGAAAACGGTCGCTGTGAGGTAGCACTTCCGTAGAAGGAAGATGGTCCTGATTTGAAGGACAATCGTGGATCTACAGAGGCAAGATTATTCGGGCTCTCGCGGAAGTTTGATAAAACCCTCAGCTCAGAGATAGGTATGATGCCGGGCTGCAGGAATTGGAACAGGCTGGAGCGATCGAAGAAGTTCCCAGCGGTAAGATGGACAGCCCGTAACCTGCCTTCCACCAACCTCACCGTCCCGTACCTAAGACAATCACAAGCACCAAGGTGCGTCCTGTTTTCGACGCGTCAGCAGCGAGCCCCACTGAGGTATCATTAAAGGATTGTTTGGATGTGGGCCCACGCATGTTTCTGAGCCCTGTTTAGATCCTCTTGTGATTCAGGCGCAGGGGATTTACCCTGACTGCAGAATTGCCAAGGCGTTTCCGCTGGTCCAACTGCAGAGGGAGGATAACGATGTTCATCGGCTCATGTTGTGGCAAGACGGAAGGATTCATCCCACGCGGTTCATGCGGGTAACATATGGTATGTGCAATAGTAGTTTCCGTCTTTCCGCGACCATTCGCCACCTATTTGTCGCAGTACACACCGTCTCCGCCGATTGCGGATCTGTCGGATAACTTCTATGTAGATGACCATGTGTCTAGTGATGACACTGATAGTGACGCACGTGCTGAGCTGAGGGAGGCGCAAGCGGTAATATTGGAGGCAGGAATGACTTTCACAAGATGTTCGTCAAACAGCCCTGCCGTGTTCGATAACGTGCATGGCGTGACGTCAGCGGAAGGCAGATCCATGAAGATCCTGAGAATTTGCTGAACTCCTGATCATGGCGCGCTTTCTTTTGATGCCGTTGACTTGTCTACGGATAGCATCCCCACAGAGCGGGTGGTGCTTAGTTTCATAAAGAGGCTGTATGATCCCCTCGGCTTCATCACGCAGTTTGTCATCGTGGCCAGGCAGCTATTCCAGATTTGGCAGTTCGGCCTGACATGGGACGAACCACTGCCGGAAGACATGAGCGCGAACCTTTTCTCAGTGGCTCAGAGAGCTGGACCCGCTCAAGGGGCTCCAGATCCCACGATGCTTCCCGACAGATCCTGGGACGGCGGGGAGGGGGTCGGGCTGCACGCCTTTGGGGACGCCCCCCTGAGAGGTTACGGCACGTCAGCATATCTGCGCGCCATGCTGCCTGATAGTTCCTCTTCCACCTCTCTTGCTATGGCTGAAGGCCGGGTGGCTACAGTGAAAAGCCACTCTCCAGGCTCGAGGGAAGGAAAGCCTGATGGCAGTGCGGCAGACCTCAGACCGCAGAGAGGACCTTGTGGACCTGACGACCCGCAGTGCGCCAGCAGGACCTGATGAACTCCATGGAGTGACTGAAAGGTCCCGACTGGCTGTCATCTGGTGCGGGCTGGCCTCCGCCGGTGGCTCTTAGCGACGGATCTGAGCGGAAACCTATTCAATGTATGTGCCACCATGTCTATGTTACGGGAGTGGATCACACCGGCGCGGTGTTTTGTGTTGACTTTCCGGACAATAAACTGAACATCAGCTTGCTCACCTGCGCAGTCACGCGCGCGGTCCACCATGAATTGGTCGATTCTTTATATCAGGAACAGTTCATGCTGGCATTGCAGCGGCTCGCCGCAATGAGAAGCACGCCGTCAGTCATATATTTACATAACGCGAAAACGTTTTTGAGTCCTACGTGCTGCTGCAAAACTTCTTTGGACATTAAGCCGTCCGCTGGAGGCTGATCGTGCCCCGGTCACCGATGGGGGCGGGCTTCAGCAAGACGCTCGGAACGCGCTGCTTCACTCGGGCCGAGTTAGAAACGTTCCTCTTTGAGATCAAAGCAGTGTGTCAATTCCCGCCTGTTGGCCTTTATTGGTGTTACGGTAGACCGTGCAAACCCGCTTACACCGAGCCGTTTTCTGATTGGCCGTGGTGCAGGATTCCAGGCAAAGGTCGCTAAGGATCCGGAAGCTATGTCCACTAGAGTGCTGCATGAAAGAGCCAGAGCTTGTGAAAGACGGTTGGATAGGTTTTAGTCGGTGTGGGCAACGGAGTACCTCCAAAACCTGCCACCGTCAGTGATTGTCCAATCAAAATTTTCCGCCGTATGTAACCCGGTATTCATTGCCGGCAACTAGAAACAAAGTTTTTTAATCGTTTTGTTCTGTAACATTTAGTACCAATGGCTGTTGGTGGCAACTGAATGGAATCATCGCGAGGTGTTTGAACAAGGAAAATCTCCTTTCGCGGCAGGCTCGTGGTGGCTTCGGTAGGCCTCGTGCATGAGGAGAACACTGCAAGGATGAATTTTGTGACTGGGGTGGTCACTAAATCGCACCCAGGCAGGGACCGTATAGTCAAGTTGGCGGAGGGCCGTACGAACAAAGGTCTCCGCACACGTGCGATTAAACGCCTCCATCATTTAGATTTGGGGCCTGATCCTTCGACTCCTCATCTTTAAACGGGGGCATTTGTACGACGTTGGTCCCTGTTTCCCTACTGCTATGACGCCATTGACTAGTGTGTGAGGTAGTGAAACTGAATGGCGTCGCGTTTGCAAATAGTTATGCCCATTTATTACTTACGAGTAGTTGCGTGATATCATTTGTGTTCGAAGCAGTTCCTATTCCCCAGGTGGGAATAGCTCGAGTTTTTGCAATGTTGAGGCGCCGACATTGCAGTTTAGTCTTATCTCAGAGCTCGTAACGAATTCGTCGTGACATTGCAACTGCCAATGTGAGTTACTTTGTATTACTATGTTGTTGTTAATTTATTCGATGATTATTGAAACGAAAACATGTCATAATTTTAGTGAGAATTTTGTATGTTTTTATGCCCAACGTACCGTTCTCTTTCGTCACTAAGCTGGCGGGCTGGTTACCATAGTGGCGGTACGGTGTTGGTTGGCTTTCCCCGTGATTGGCTAAATTGATGATCAAAATATTGGCGGGAAGAAGTTTGCTGATTTCTCGAACATATTGTTTTACCCTGAACACTTTATAACCGATGAGTAGGTAGAATCCGTGTGACGTTTTTATGCCGTCATGCATCTCTGATTGACTTTAAAGCAGGCGGCGCGAAATAGTCTGCGCTTACGAAACTGCATGGAATAATCTGAGGTCTTCACGTAATAGTTTGTAGTAAGCGTGTGTTCAGCTCAGAAGAGAAATGATTTGAAGTCTTGAAAACGGCATGTGTCGACGGCGGAAAAGGACTTTGAGACTTTTTTCTTGCATACTTCCTTTTTTGTTTTTGTTTCTGAAACAAACACAACATTGTCATCCAGTGACGTAAGTACGCTGGCATACGGAGCCAGAATACAGCACATCTAGAAGTGACAGCAAAGTTATCGTCCTATATCACTTGTTCTGAATTAACACATCGAATACTAAATTATCACAGTGCATCTTGACCTAAGTAAATGCACACATAAGATAATACGCTAAGTAAATACAGCTCTCTTACCAAAGTTGCTCCTACTATCGCCGTTGAAGAAACAAGCGGCTTCCAGCGGCGCACGTCAAACCTCGTGCCACTCGCCACGTCATCTGACCCCGAAGCAAAGGGGCTCGCTAACTACACTAACCGCCGCGCAGCGAGACAGCGCCATGTGCCGGTAGTCCTAGTCGCTGCACCATCCATCGTCCCTGTTCGGATGCCATCTACGGAGCACGCAGACGCAATCGTTGTGCACGCAACATCACTGGAAGTTGCAGTGAATGATCTTGCAAATGACTGTCTTATGTCAAGACCCCATACCAATTGGGAGCAGTCCCGTTAACCAGTGCCTTTTGGTATACTAAAGGTTGATTATTGCCAACATCACGCCAACCCATAACCCCGTTTTTGTTATGGCTCAGTCACTTTCCCTTATAAAGGCGGCTCATCGCCCGATGGTCGGCATAACAAAGTCACCCGCGTATGCAGACGCATCAGTTAGACGTGCAAAGGTAAGTATGAGGTATAAGAGTGGGCGTTTTTGATAAAGCCTCCATCTATGTCCGACTTAACCGCACTCGTGACCAGCCTTCGGGGATGCTTTTTAAAGAGATGAGTTGCAATTTATGACTACGAATGTGCCTGAGAAAATTGGGAAAGCGTACACAAGCTCCATGCCAGCAGAGCAAATAAGCCCCCTTAGATTGGACATGTCGCCTGCTTTTGAAAATGTACTGCGTGCTGCTCGCCATAACAGGAAGCTTAAAGGCCTTTCGAGCGGAACGAAATTGAAAAAAAAACAAAAAAAAATCGCCGCCGACTTTGCGCGGGGCCATGTTTTCTAGGCACCGCGCGCTTCACATGATCCACCTGACTAACACCCCCGCTCTGGCCCAGTTCCAGAAGTCATGCAGGTGTCGCTGATCTGCGGCCTGGTCCTGGTCATTGCCTGCCTGTTGGTGACGCCGAGCGCCCGTTCGGTGACCAACATAGGCTGCAGGCCGGAGCACCTGGAATATGTTCCCACGCGCACCAAGAAGCTCTGCACCAAGATTCTGGCGCTGCGGGAGGTGCAGCGTGCCATGGAGGGGTACCTCGGCGACGAAAGTGAGTCGCCGACGAGTGCACTCGCTGCTTCCTCCGCTGGCGATCATGTTGTGTTGTCCGCCGTGCTTTGCGCTTGTTGAGATAGTCAAGCACGCGTCCGCTTTTGTCAACGTTCATATGGACATTGGAATATTTTAAAAAATAAAGTTTTAAGTGACGGACTTCCGCGAACTGGGTCCTAGGATATAATTATATCCCGGTCATTTGACGCTTGCTGTGTTGCATTTTTCCTCTTACATCTAAATTGCGTTCGCTAAATGGAGCCTCTCCGTTTAAAGAAGGTATGCATTCGTTGGTAGATGGCGTTTCCAAATTTTGGACATGTTTCAGGGCGGAGATAATGGTGTATAGTTTTGGGAAAGCAACAAATCACCATCTATTAAAATAATGATAACAAGAGCTGATTTCAAGTTGTTTGGAATAGTTCCATTCTTTGATGGATAAGTTTGTAAGATGACTTTGATAAATAATGGAGGGATGTCTTTTGTCGTGTTAACAGATGTGCAATCTTCTGAAGCCTATTTTTCCACTTTTGTCTCTTTTCCGACTAATTGGCTGGGGCATGAATATCTAATTATTATTGTCAGGCTCAAGAGGAGTTTGACACCCTAAAAGTTAGTTTTGCCGGTAGAGGTACGCATCTTGAGGGGCGGGTCTCAACCAATGTTGCAAAGTTATGTACTTTAATTTGCTCTCAACCGCTCGGATTGGTGCGTGCAAGAAATACCATTTCGCCAGCAGCGTAAAACTTGCGCTAGAATGCGAGGCGGTGTCGGGGCCTTTCAAATATCAGCCTCGTGACGGGCTGCTGGTCCAGCGAACTGATGAAGCCAGTTGAACGTTAAGTAAATCAGTGCGGCTCACAGCCTTGGTCTTTCTTTTTGAGCTCCAAGTTTATCCGATGTAACTCCCGCATGTTGTCCATTTTCAGAACCACGTGAGCTTTCTAGCATCACGTGAAGCGATAAGTCGTCATGGTTTTTCGTTACTGAGAAATTTGCGATGGGCTTTACAGGTGTCACTCCCCCTTCAATGCGCCACACTCTCAGCTCTGCATTCCATGTTTAGTAGTCAACACTGTCACATTCCTTGGTGTCGTTTACAGTGCGAGGCGAGCTCGGCCTGAGCGACAACGGAGCTAAGCGACAAGACGTGGACCACGTGTTCCTGCGGTTCGGCAGAGCCTATCTGTAGTCCACCGCGGGAGAGCGGCGTGGGCTGCGTGTGCCCCCGCCTGAAGACCGATCCAGAGTGGCCGAGGGATTTACAGCAGGGTACGCCGGACACCCACGCAAAGTCACTGGGCGTCGCGGAGGCAGACTCCCACAGGAATAACACATGCAGAGCAGCTGCCATGTTGACTGCAGGAAGCCATCGGGTAGCTGGAAGCCTCTCCTTCCGGGACTTCTGGGAAATCTGATGATGTCTCCTGACTGAAGCCAAGTGGTGTGTTGGAAACGTGCGAACACTCCGCAGCCTGTAATGCGCTGATATGAAAATATGGTATGTTCAGTTTATTTATTGACTGTGCTGTCAGATTACAGCTTTGTAACCAGCCTTGTTACCCCGGCGCGATACTAAGTATGTCCGAGAAGCAGCAACAAAAACAATGCTAGGCATTTGCAGACAGCTGCACCATGGATTTGTGACACTTAACTCACGGATTTGCATAAGTGGGTTACGCTTAAAGGAAACGTTTCTTATTTGAAGATATCGAAGCAATTAACTTTTAGATCCTGAAGATTGCAGACTTCAGATTTTAAAATAACCTCAATGATAACTCTTGCTGTACTTTTAAGTGAAAAAGACTGCTATGGCTCACACAATTTGTCAACGTGATCAATATTTTCCTGAATGCGTCATTGTTTGATTGCGTCATGGAACTTTCGTATGACAATACTCACTTGTAGTTATTCAACCCCCGAAAGATGGCAGCATGGGCTGGAACAGTTCAATGAGTCAAATATCGTTATATGCTCATGTGTCGGATCTTTCTCGTGGCATTCTTGCATATTTATCCGGAAGTTCACGATGTTTACTTCTACTCTCGTCCGCAGCTATAGCAATATTCTTGAGTTCTTTGGTTGCGAGCACTTTTCCGCAATTACTAGTAAGAGCATATAACTTACTGTCTCCTTTGGGTCAAAACGTAATTTGTGTGGGAATGTTGCATGGCTTACATGACATTGGTTGAGAGCCAATTTACGGCCGTTAGTTCTGGAAATCATGCTCACGAACACCAGATATGAATGACTCGGTGATTCTATTTTTCTTGACCTTGAGCACAGCATGGCCAGTGGAGTCTCTGGATTTGAATGAGCTTATTATCGTGTCATTGGCGTATTGGTGACATTGAAGTAGTCCGCACAAAATGGTGTGCATATCGCCGCGGTCTTCAAGGTCAGGAACCAGAGGGGTTTACGTCTTCAAAAGCGCATGGCCGTGAACTGCATTCAGTAACCTTCAATGTGACTATTTCAGTTAAAAATACTACACAAAATTGGAAAACTTCCTTTAAGTCTCTCCGAATAAAAATACCTATTCCGTGGGGCTGGCCTCTCTGAGCTTTTTGGAGGAGCTTGGAAGTATTCTGTGCGTTTCTAGCATTTGACGACATACTCAGCTGCTGAGGCCATGTGGCTCCGCCTGCCTCTCACCCTGACTGAAGGGGCGGGCACCGCGGGGAACCGAACCCCGTACTTCTGGTTGCCCAGATGCACAGTGGTTCACGCAGGCGCGTCAATCACTTACACTATCGGCACCCTTGAAAGTCTTCGAACGGATTGTTCAAAGTGACGTGGGCCTGATAAAAATATATTGTATCTTTGCATTTGATTCGATGGCATGTTAAATCCAAGTTGAAGAATGACTTCATTTGAAATTTGCTTGCATTATTACTGCTCCTACCTCGCTCCTGTCGCTGTTCCCTTGTTATATTTAGTTAGGTATGCGGAATACATCTTTTGACCCCAGTTTAAGTACAACTTTCCAAAATATTCTTCGAAACATTTTTCAAACATCCTTCCTGCTCGGTGCAATGACAGTGTTGTAACGCAATGCGATTCTGTAAATTCAAGACTGTGTTTTTTCAAGATATGTTAATAAAAGAGACATTCTTTGAGAGTTACGATGCAACCTCATCCCAAACCACCCATGATGTGAAAAGACAGAGCCCCGTCGACGTAACGTGACGCTGCGGGCTTCTGACCAGGCGTAATCTTCGCGATTTGTCCACACGGAATGCTAATCCATGCGCCGGTGTCCGAAAATAAACCACTACATCGCATATATTGGCTTGCCTTGATTCATACGTTCGCAATTAATTTCTCATTGTACGCAATATCATACACGTTAAGATCATGACACGGGCAAAGCTCCCCTAAGGGGAGCTGTCGTGCAGCCAATACGGTTTGGCACAAGCCCAGCTAGGAAGCTTGTCGTATAGATGGTGGCTATCCCTGTTCCGACGCACCAACTCCTCAGATTAATGTGGTGAAACGCACGCGATCAGCGCCAGCCGGTTCACCGCCTGGCAACGTGGTCTGCCAGCCCGGCGTGGCACCGTCCCAGCCGTCGCGGGGTCCGGCATGACACCGTCCCAGCCACCACGGGGTCCGGCATGACACCGTCCCAGCCGCCGTGGGATCCGGCGTGACACCATCCCAGCCGCTGCCGGGACCGACACCCATCAGCTTCAGCCTGGGGCCTTCGGCGAGAGTCAGCGGCTGCTGTTACGGAGAGCTCACACAGCCGTGAGCCGTCACGGCGAAACACGCCAGCCGGGGAGGGCGACCACACAAGCCCAAGTGTCTGAACATGCAGACGTCCTCGCGTCTGACGTTGCTGCCCACAATGGGAATCCAGATCGGTAAGCTGGGGGCGAGTCTTTCACATTTGTATGGTTTTGGGCTGTGATAGCCGTTTTGAAGATCATGCAGCGCAGTTCACAGGTCTGTACATTTTATGATTTAAAATATGTTGGCTCTTGAGCTTGATGCTCATGAACGTATACTAATTAATTGCAAAGTCTAGTTAAAGGTTGCACATGCATGCATGACGTCATAGAAACATTACACGAGTACCGCGATCTCAATGGTTATGTGGTACTCAGAGCCAAGGCAATATGAATGTAGAATTATTCCTGTCCGACGTTTTTTCAGAACAAAACGTGATATCCATCCGCACCAGATGTCATTCAACCCATGCGGCTATTTTTTATGCGCTGTATGTGAGCCTGGGACACGCAAGTTTCGTGCTACATGATGCAGGAATATGGGCAGTGATACTAGTTATGACAGAAATAAGACTCAAAATCCAATGGGTTAAGAATAACGCCGCAACCGAGTGTGCGAATGCGAATGAAAATATACAACCACGAACAAATATACAAAAGCACCACGAGAAATTACGTGCACATAACGGCATTCGGGTTCAACAAGCACGTGTCCGCAAATACCCCACCTCTCGGTAAGCTGAAATCCTACAAGTGGTTCAGCCCATCCGCTAGAGTAACAACTCTGACACGGCCAGTATGGCCGCCTCTGGTGCCACAAAAACGTTGCATGGCTTAATTAAACGATGGTGCGCTGAGAAGCATATTTACCAAGTAGCGAAATATTACTGTCTAGAACAGTTATTTGCACTTACAGGCATACCAATAGTTACAAATGAGCTTTTCCCATCATAGCTCATGCTTGCCTCAATATCTTCAAATGTGGAGCTTTACCTTTAATGGGAATGCTCCACATTTCAAGATATTGAGGCAAGCATCAGATACAATAAAAGAAGCCCACTTAAACTATTGGTATATTGTTGAGTGTAAAAGACCACTGTAGACAACACAATTTCTCTATTTAGTCAGCATGTTTCTCAACCCATTCAAAGCCTTGACTGTCGGACATCTAATAATTTTGATGCTTTGTCATACATGGTATGTCTAATGAGTTACGGGCGCAAACCATAATATTTTCACATTGTTTCAAAAGATTTAAAGAAAACTGTCAAAACGATTGTCGTGAAAATGCAACCATGGCTTCCCTGGCCAGGAAGGGGTACGCTCAAACCCTTTTCACTCGTGCACCCCTTAAGGGCGTTTGTAATAGTTTCCAAAGACAACATTACAAAGAATAACAACACAAGGAACACTAAATATTTGTTCAGCTCTAGCGCGGTAACGGGTAATTTATTGACAACATAGATAAAACGACGCATTAATTTGTGCTACCATACGTATGCACTCGTCGTTGCTTTTTCTATCGTCTTCGTAACATAAATAGAGCCGATGAACGCAGCAGCAGTGTACTACGGTGCTGATGTTTATAAATGTCTTGAAGCTGCTCGTACGTAATCATGCTCCTCTCCATTTGAAATATGCCCTTGGTGCAGGCACCTCAAATTGCATCATGCCAGCCCTGTGAAGGATGTCGGCATCAGTGAAAGCAGCTTAATTCTAGCTTTTTGGCTAAATGCAAGACAAAGAAATTGGCGACCATTTGCGTGCAGGTTCCATACTTCATGCCACAACACCATCTAGAAGACAGTTGGAGAAGACTCCAGTGCGGTAAACAAAGCTGTGGCTAAGGTACGCTTATTTTAAAAAAAAATCAAGGCTAATTCTGACATAAACTCTGACGAAGACCATAACTGGAAATCTCCTGGTCATGTAGTGTGGTCCAAACTCTCTTGCGTTAGACGAACTGGTCTCGACACCGTGCTCGACTTTGCTCAGGAATTAAATACGCAGCAACATTGCCACATTCTTGCGTCTCACCTCTCACAGTTTTATCACACAGACATCTAGCATGCACAGCTTTTGTTATGCAAAAATAAGAGCTACAAAAAACTAATAAAGGTGGAGCCATTGATTTATTTGCATACGGGGTTGGCTTAAAAGTCTGGTCAAGCCAGCCCAGACCGATAACAAATATACGTATACATTCACTCACACATTTATCTCCTCCACTGCTCACAGTGCCTGCTACCTACGCACCACTAATGCCACTTCCACTTCATTGTTTAACAACCATGTTGAAAGGTCACTCTCAACGTGATGCAAATTTTGGAAGTGTTTCAAATGGAGGGAGGCATGACTCCGTACGAGCAATTTTCAGCCATTTCTAACCATCACCCGGCAGAGAACACTTTTGTTGCGTTCATCGGCTTTAGTTATGTTACGAAGATTGCAAAGAAGTCAATGGCAAGTCCATGGAACTTGTAGCGCAAATCAGTGCGTCGTTTTATTCGTGTTGTCAATAAATTACGCCAACGCTGCGCTAGAACTAAACAAATATCAAGTCTTCCTTATGTTGGCATTGTTGTCTGGAAAATTTTGCGAACGGTCTTGAGGGGTGAGCAAATGAAAAGGGCTTAAGCGCACGTCCTAGGGGGTGTTAGGGGAATCGTCCTACCTTAAGGGCATATTTCAAAAACATAGTCGGTAAAACCTCAGGACCATTAAGTTTGATAAAAGCGTTGCATGGTGCCACTGCAGCACCAGCAAAACACAGGAATCCAAATTTCAATTATTTGCTAGTCCAAATTGCAGTCAGCGCTTTGGAACGGCACTACACTTTTTTCCTCGTGGTAGTCTCAGATTGCATCTAGGATCCACGACAAAAGTAGTTGCGATCGTCGCCGTCTTGACGACCGCGAAATATGATGAGGGCCAGTGTCAGCTGCAACGGGTAAGAGGTACCATTTTTGAACTATTTTAGCCGCGCATCGTGGGCCTAAAAATGACACCTGTACTGGTATGAATGCCGTCTGTACAAACGAACGTTTGTGACTGGCACGGCAGGCGGCAAGAACCAGTTACCGAGAAGCGCGTAGTTGGAAGTTTGCAACAGTGCGTCACTTTAGACCATGTGATACTCCGTTTCCCAAACCTAACGTTGAGTTCGAAAAGAGCCAAGGTCCTAAATTTCTTTCTCCCGCAGGTCGGCCATTCCAAACCGTAATGCTGAGCTTTTCAGATAGATTTGGAGAAAATTGGTGCTGCCGATCAACTCAGACGCGTCTGGTCTAACAATAAGTGAAAAGTACAAAAAAAGGAGCATGCTTCCTCCAACTTGTTCGGTTACAAGGCATATTACCGTAATAGCTAGCAACTATGTCGAATTCCTAATATTGCATAGCATGCAATTAAAGGAAGTGTTCCACATTTATATAGGGCTTTAAACTGAAATAGCCATATTCAAGACATTTGGGTGCTGTTCACTATCCCGCCCTTCTTAAGACATAAGCTCCTCTAGTTTCTGAGCTACATGCCCGTGGAAGTGGGGAAAGGTATATCGGGAGACAATTTCAAAGTCACCTTGGCATTAATGACGTCATAATAACGTCATTTAAAACCTGCCATTCCAAAAACCATGCGACGATCAAGGCAAAATAATATAATTGTCGAGGCGTTCATATCTGGCGTTTGTTAGCGTGATTGCCTCATGGCCGTCAATCGGCTCTCAATCAATGTTGTGCAGGGTACCATAACGTAATCAAACCAGAACGCATTGAGAAGCATCTTTACTAAACAGAGAATTGTGCTGCCTAGAGAAGTCTTTTCAAATTAAAAAAACATATTTATAGTTATAAGTGGTCTTTTTCTTCAGCATATCTGATGCTTGTCTCAATGTCTGCAGATGTAAATATTTGCCTTTAATGTCCACTTTATCTGGAAATCCCGCTCACGGACACCACATGAGAACGGTTCAACGATAATATTTTTCTTGGCCTTGAACGCCGCATGGCCTATGGGGTGGAAGGACTTGTAAGACATTGCTATGGCATCATGCGGGTCCGAATATGTTTTTAAATAGGCTGCACTGAATAGCCTACACATCTCCACGAGCGTGTGGCTCAGAAGTTAAATAATTTTAGGTCTTAAGGACAGGGCTATGAAATGCACCGAAGGATCTCCAAAGTGGCTATTTCAGCTAAAAATCCCATACAAATATTAAAAACTCCCTTTAAACTGCGCGCAACGCCTCAACGCGCACGGGAAGTTGCTTCCCGTTGCAGAATCGAATACGCTAGCCCCAGCCTGGCGGGAACTGTTTCAAGTCTCACCGTTGTCGAGTGGGGCAGTGGCAGGCTAGATCCACCAACCAGAACGAGTAGATAGCCTGGTGACAAGGTAATGCCTGGAATGAGTGCCTGAAGTCTGAGGAGTGTGGTGCCTGGAAATGCTTGAAAGTCCCAGTGCTGGTCACCAGTTAGCCTATGATTCACACTTTTTCTAATTGTATCTAGTATTTTGCGTGCCCAAGCCGCTTCTATAGCAGCGTTATGATCGTATTGCCTGTGAATAAATATTTATGAAGCACTTCTGCTACAATGACTTGCACTGCGCCCTTTAAATAAAGACGGACACGGTTAATACATTGTTTCATATGGGAATACCCTCTGCAAAGTGGGTCTTATTGGCTAACACAAATGTGATAGCCTCTTGGAGCTCATGTTTCCTTTACGGAGGATGCAATTTGCTCATTGCCCGCCGCATGTAACCCGGTATTTATTCCCGGCTATCTAGAAACAAACGTTTCTTAATTGTTTTGTTCTGTAACATTTAAGGCCAATGCCTGCTGGTGACAACTGAGTGGAATCATCGCGAGGCGTTTGAACACGGTGACATATAAAATAATTTGTAATCCTCACGCTTGTATCTTGCTATTTTTCGATTAATGACAAACGTACACCATGTGTAAGGGCAGGGACATGTGACAATGGGACTTTAATTATCATTAAGGATGTTTAACGGACTAAGTTTAGTCTTCCGTTGAGTCTGCAATCGGGTTGAAATTCCGCTTTCCTGAGCATGTGTCAACCACGCACACGATGGGCCAGTCATGAACCTTGCACGCTGAGCCTGGGAGCCCCAGGAGCCATGAACCGACTCCGATCCAAGACATGAATCCTAGGAATCTGGATCCCATTTACGCGTCAGCTCAGCGGGTTTCGTACTAAGACTGGCGTTCGGGCTCAGTGCCGGTGACAGTTTAAGTACACTGAACGTTGTCATGGCGACAAGAAAGCTCGGCGATTACCGTCATGGGCACCGGCTTTCAATGTATCCAAATGCAGGCCCACATTCCCCGGCACTGATTTTTGGACTCCTAACCAAATCGATCAATTTTTGGACACAATGCTTACATGCACATCGATGTAGGTTGGAACAAAATTTTGGAATTGGTCACATGGGACATCACTATCAGTGAGGTCGCAGTGTTACCATTGAAATTCTGTCAAGAAGGAAGGCGAGATATGAATCTTGAGCTTGAGCTTCCGAACTTCCGTAATTTTCTATCCATGTAGTTAAAACCATCTCAGGCGTAATTCCATCCCTCCAGCAGCAATAACGTATCGCGACGCAAATAAATAGTTAACGTAAACGTACGAAAGGTGTGGCCTATGTGCATTTTTGCAAAATGTCAACGAGCAATCTTTACTTTCCTCATCATTCGCTGTGTATACCAGAGTTTCATGAAGGGAATATCTCCTCCGGCCACACGTGCAAAATATGCGTTTATTTACTACCCTGCTGGACACCGCAAGCAGTCTTGAGTACTAAACGGGCGCATGACACCCCACATGAGAGGCAAGATGAAACTTTCTCAAACGCTACATTCTGAACTTCGGGTTTCGAGGCAACGGCAGGCTTCATGCGTCCAAACGCTCCAGGCGCTTTCCGTCAGCTGCGTTGTGGTCACGACGTTTGTGCAGTAGGCCTCAGCAGGACGTCGTGTATCTGGAACAAAATGTGAAAGATTTGCGACATGTTACCGATGTGGCTGTCCACCACAAACTAGAGTTCACTAGCGCTGCTGCATTATTTGCCCTAAACGGAAATACTTTCGTTCATTTCGTGTCCATTGTTTGTCATGACTGCCGCCACTTCCAAAACTTAGCATATCTGATATGGAGGATGCATCAACTAGTTTCATTTTGTTCCAGTCCGGTACGGCAAAGTACAAGTCGTTGCAGTATGACAAGGGACCGCATCAGGTTAGCATTCAACATCATATTAGATCAACCTCCAAATGCCGAAGCCAAATTATTTGTACCACCACTTCACGTCAAAGTGCCGCTTCACACATTAAGCGGACATCATTTTCAGCATTAGAGAACCTCGAATGCGTAAGACGACTTACAAGGGTTGGTAAGACATTATAAGTGACCTGTGAGGTCAACAGTCAGATAACATATTTCAGATTTATGCTATCTGTTCGGGAATGACCGCCGCTATCGAAGCCATTTCCTTCTGAAGAAAATACAAGAAAGGAATATTTTTTTTTAAATTGTTCTTTTAATTTCTTCAGCCCGACTATAAGATCCTGGAATAATGAGGATACATTTCATCAACCGCTGAAGATGATAGGAGGTGGAATACCCGAGGCGGTACTGGGTTAATAACAATGACTCGAACAAGGCACGTGACCATCCAATATTGTCGCAAATGAGGGAGGGGCTCGCAGCATTGCTGGCGACCCAAACGAATAGCATGATAAGCCGCAAACAAATGTGTGTGAGTTGAGCTAATGATTAGGACATACGTGTTTCTGCCACCCTCCACCAGAAATGTTGATTTCTTATCACGCCGTTTGCGTCAGTTTCCTAACCCAACATGTGTGCTTAAATCTGCGCAGTGTTGCTTCTCACACCAAAGGTTCTACGTTCATGCTGCAACAAAACTCCTACCGGCAGGAACGCTACGACGTTACTTCTACTGTCAAACGTATGCACAACGATAGTGCTGCATGACAAAACTGCTCTGCAAAATTTATGCTCGTCAGTACTTCTGCTCCAAAGCCCTATGCACTCATCACGTATACATCAGTTTATTTCTACTACAAAGACTTACAAACGACATAAGTCCTACACAACAAAAATTATGCCTCAAAAACTTACATCCGCCATTACCTCTACTGCAAAAACTTATACAGCTATTACTTGTACGCTGCATTTCTTCTACCGCCAAGACCTAAAGGCACATTAGTATTATAGCAAATATTTGTGGTCAAGTCTACCGTAGAAGTAATGACTAGTGTATGCTTTTTCAGTATAAGTTTAATCGTATAGTACTCATGTCGTGTATCCGTTTTTGCCATGAAAGTATTGTCGCGTTTAAGTGAAGGTTGCATAAATCTTTGCTGTATGAGTACTGGCCAGCGTAAGTTCTTGCAATAGAAATTTCGTCGTGTAGCACTCATGCTGTGAGTGATTTTTGCATTGATGTGATATCACGTACAAGTAAAGACTATAATATTTTGCAGTAGATGTGATGACGTGAATAAGTTTTTGAAGCATAAGTTTTGTCATCTACCACTCATGTCACGTGTAAGGCTTTTTGGTAGAAGTCATGTCGCGTATAACTTGTCTGTTGAAGTTTTTGCGGTAGGAGTAATATCGCCATAGCTGATGTCGTAGCACTCCTGTCGATAGGAGGGTTTGCCGTGGCGCTAATGTCATGGCACCACACCGAAAGACACGGGCCGCTGCGACAAGAACAGCCTTCAGCTGTGGGGCTGGCAGTGACGCAGTCCGCACGAACGCTACCGTCAGCGGATGACCCGGGACAGACAGCCCCGTGGGCCAAGAGAGCCAACCTGGACATGAAGCGGAGTCTCGAGCAGGTGCACCACGGTCTCGACCACGTCTTCCACCTGTAGCGCCTTCATGCGGGTGAACACGTTCAGCTGCTGCTCCGGCCGACCTGACATCTTGGCCAGGAACTGCGTCTCCACAAGTCCGGGGCTCACCGACTGCCGACAACCGGCCACCGACCATCAGCGGGACCGAAGGAGGCTGGGAAGGGCAGACCGCTGATGCGTCGCACCGGTTCGGTACAAACGCAGGGCCTTCATGAACGCCAGCATTTCCCAAGTGCCATGGAAAGGTCACCAGTGAGCCGACGATGAATTTCGTCAAGAATACTAAAAAACCGATATGCAATGAATACCGCTCTGTTTATGTTCTTATAAAGGTGCATACCCGGTCCTTAAAGGAAATGTTCCATATTTCAACGTAATGAAGCAGCCATCAGATACGATGAAATAATTTCACTTATAATTATCGGTATTGCATATGCAAATGATGGCTTTCAAGATTCGACAGTCGCTCCTAGTATTCAAATTTAGATTCGCATTGTGTTCGACTTTTTAAGATCCAAAATTTGCAGGATTCCAACCTTTTCGAATATTTTCAAACGCTAAAACTTCATGCCATAGGCGGTTTTCACGCTTAATCCCGACTGAAAGAGATGCATGTGACTCCGAAGATTACGGTGTCCCGGAAACAGTTACGAAAATAGAAACATTTACGAAAACGTAATGCGACGGGTCAAACGTGACTTCACCGTGGACATAACCAAGGCTTCCCCACGCTTTGATTACTGGGCACTAATTGCTTAGCTTCTTGGGTAAACCACCACTTTTTGGAGCGGTTAGTCCTTGAAGCATATTAGTCAAGCTTTGCTGTAAGCCGAATAGTTTGTTGGCCTGGTACTTGAGTGGTCAGCATTGCCAATTATTTCTTGATAATGACGCTGAACCAGTGCTCCTTAACTTGTTGAGCTTCGATCATTATCAGCATTGTGTACCGGAGTTCGGAAAACCCAGAAGCTTTAGGCCTTTTTTGTACATTTCAAGCTGGTTTTCTTCTCTTGTAAAACAAAAAACTTATACTCCATCCGGGATTTTACGCCAGAGATTACATGCTTGAAGAGAGCTGAACACATATGATGATGATAATATAAACGATGACGGGTGGATGGATGCATACATGACGATGATGATGAGGACAGATGGGTAGATGCCCCACAGGAGGCTACGCACGCTGATCCGAGCGCTGGGCAGTGTCTTGCTCAGCTCCAGCCGCATGCTCTCGGTTAGCGCCCGCACAGCGTGCTTCGTGGCCGAGTAGAAGTGGAACTTGGAGGGCACCGGATGCATGTGACCCGATTCGCTGCAAACAAGCATCACACGAGTGTCAGCTAATTCGGAAATGCCTGATGGATTTAGCCGTTACCGGGCGGTGGGGGTATTTTTCTCCTCCTTGACTTTTTACTTTATCGTCGTTTCTCCTCCCAGGAACCAACGGAATGGTCACCGCCGATTCAAGTGTAAATCGCCAGACCCGGATTCACGACGTGGGATATATCACTGTTGCTATCCTCAAGGTCGCCGCTGCCGCCGAAAATCGGATGGCGTTAAAGGTTTTGATATTTGCGATCGCTGGTTGCTTGTATCTAGAGGCCAACTTGGGCACCCAGAACTTATTCAAGTGCTGGTGTGACGGCTGGCCATGACACAAAGCAAATCTTAGATCACTGAAGCCTGCTGCATGGGAGAGCGGAAACAGTTCACCAGACCAACATGTGATATTACAGATGTTGGTCGTTGACAATTAACCAGGGCATCAATTATCGGCAATGTCTTTGAAACGTTTAAGGCGGCATAACATCCGTTATACACCGATCAAAGTAAAATAGCGGTCTGGCAGATGAATAGTTAATGATATGTCTATACAACAGGATGGCGTAAGTAGTACACAGCGTATTTATAGGCCCATGTTCATATATCTCTGAAACAGGTTGGCGTAGGTAGTACACAGCGTATTTATATGCCCATGTTCATATATCTCTGAAACAGGATGGCGCAAGTAGTACACAGCGTATTTATAGGCCCATGTTCATATATCTCTGAAACAGGATGGCGTAAGGAGTACACAGCGCAATTATGGCACCGAGATAAAAGCCTGCAACTTCCAAAATACTGAGCCATCCCTGCACTTTCTGTTGGATCCATCAGTAGATCAGGAAGATGTCCGAATGCGTAGTATGCAAAACAATACCCGTAATTCGAAAACTCAAGTCAAGTTCACACTATAACGCAAAGTCGACTTAGTATGACCATGTAACCTACGCTGTAAGTGGCTGCTTTTCTGATACTTCATGATGCGACACATGCAGTCTTCAGATTGCGAGAACACATACTGTTTATTTATTGCAATGCGACGTCAGAAAGTCAACGGAGCACGTTGTTATCTATGATGATCTAGACTTAGGCCAACGGGACCCAACTTGACCCCTGCTGACCTTGGGCAGTCTGCCTGAACCCACTACCACGACAGTGTCACGGCGAATAAAAACCGAAATGAATGAGGCTTAATTATGAGCCAATTGTAGTGTGAGCACACAAGCATTGTTTTCACATGATCTAGCATGATCTAGTCCAACAGATTTTGCCACAGGATAAGTTCGATGTTTTTCTGTGTCTGCCGGATGCATCACGTTAATGGTGTACTTTGATCGGTCGTTGCACCAAGGAAATCAAAAGAACCAAAAATGTGCATCGTACTTTGCCAAACACGAGTTCACAGGTGATCTCAGTGATGAGGATGCCTGACATGGGATGTGTGTAAATTCTGTTTTTATCTTGTTTCACTTACTGTTCGGGACATCAGGAGGAGGCGATATCTGCAGACAGGATCGAGGAAAGTTCGCCATGATTGACGGGAGGTGTTCAGAGGCACAGAGGCATCAGTAGTTTAGTGGTTCAAAATAATCTTAATAGGGGAAAGCCTGGATGGGTCTCGGACCGACGTAGCAGCGGTGTCACCTGTTGATGTGGATGATGTAGCCGTCCGTGACGCCTGTCTCCTGCATAGTTTGCACAGCCAGCTGGGTGCAGAAGCAGAGGGCCACGATATTGATGTTTGCCATCGTCCTCCATTCCTCAACAGTGCCGTCTGTGAAGCAAACCCGAGTGATCATCACTAGCAGCCGGAACCTCGACGAGCGCGCCAAAAGTGGCCACGTTCGCTGCTTGCCTGGGCATGCACTATTACACTGCTGTGCCTCGAAATTAATGTGAACGTGCACCAGGGATGATTATGAAATACAACAATAAAAAATCAGAAGTAAATACATTGTGAATCCAGTTATTTGCTGAAGACACCGGCACTCTGCATGCATGAAGCCGAACGATCTTGGGCCAAATTGTACGCGTGATAATTGAAAAGGAATGAGGTTGGGGTCAGGAAACATCTGTTTAAGTTTCATACTTAGAAAAGGGCACAATATCCTGGCTCAGATGCTACATTTCATTTTAAGACCAGACCGCTCGGGATGCTGCCATATTTCTGCGCGAAACTTTGCACTCCACGCGCTCGGGTGGTGGTCAATTTGACCCACCCCTCAAGGTTTCTCCGGAATGGTTTCCGGACGGTGCGATGACGTCGTTTCACATTTTGCATAGTTGTGGACAATTGAATATCGGATGGTTTACTATCAAAAAGCTGCATGCACCTTGTAAAGTCGGTAACCTGCGTAAGGGGTCAAAATCAGGCCATAGATTCAGCGAAGACAATTTATAGGAAACGTTCAATCTGATGCAACAAGTGTTAGATGAAACCATACATCTCTGAGATAGTTCCTTAGGCAGCAAAACAATTCAGGGAACTAATTCCATTGGCCTTGTTTAGGCATGCAGATCAGACCAAGGTCAAAACCGACCTCTTTTATTTCTCCAAGAGCCTGCTGTTTATAGTAGTTTTTGGTGCTTATTAAAAATTTATTGGTAACAAGAACCGCATTGTACATATTTCATGGAATTACACACGGTCAAAATAGGTCCCTGATGTAAAATGACCCAGGTCAACATATTGTTTTTAGGGACATCCTGCCTAGAAAGTGACACTTCTTTAAATGCAAAACTTAAAGCGGTCTCGTATCACTCGGTTGCCATGTCCATCGAAGGTCAAATAAAGTCCATGATCTTAACTAAGCGCCAGCCATGTTTTGCTTAGATCAGGTATCTAGGTTCTGGGGATACTTTGGACACATCTGGGATTTGACCTTGTTTGAGCTTACTCGACTCAAAGATCATGACCAAGGAGCCTTAAATTCCTACGCAAGTGAGTTTTTGTACAGGCCAACACACCGTGGGAATTTCGTTTCTGCAACTTTCTTAGTTTTTCAGGTCTCAGGGGATCAAACTGACCCCTGCCCGAACTGAGGGCACTCAACCGGCCACCCGGGCGCGTGTTTACATGGACCCCATGAAAGGCCAGTATCACTGCCATCTACCGACGTTACCGCGACGTTATGTGTCGCAGCGGTGTAGCGTATTGAACTGAGGCTTTAAACATGGCTGAAAGCACTAATATTTTCGTTGATCTGCGCGTGCTTGGTTGAAAACAACTCATTATCAATAATAGATTTGTCTTCTTGCTAGGAATAATATAAGCTCAGCGTTTTCTGGTGGGCTCAATCCCTTTCAAACACGCCATAGAAAGCATACACAGCTGTGTAGACCTGTTGCGTTATGGTCCTATAGCCATGTGTTGCATGCATCACAAATAAACGAACATGTCACAACCTCGTTTGATCTCCTTACACAACGTGGCCACATTGCGGTAACTTCAGTGCATGCCAAGAGCAGATACGGCGGCTAGAATCAGCAGCTAGAATCAGCAGCGCTCTGCGGCTAGAATCAGCAGCTAGAATCAGCAGCGCTCTGCGGCTAGAATCAGCAGCGCTCTGCGGCTAGAATCAGCAGCTAGAATCAGCAGCGCTCTGCGGCTAGAATCAGCAGCTAGAATCAGCAGCGCTCTGCGGCTAGAATCAGCAGCTAGAATCAGCAGCGCTCTGCGGCTAGAATCAGCAGCTAGAATCAGCAGCTAGAATCAGCAGCTAGAATCAGCAGCACTCTGCGGCTAGAATCAGCAGCACTCTGAGCTGTACTATTATGCTCAGCTGGGGATTCTTTTAGCGCTCCGTGTAATAGTGCCCAATGACGAACGCCATACACCAGAAAAGAACGCACAGTCCTACCCGATAGGTGAATGGTTAGAGCGTCATATTCCAAAGTGCATTCCGAAGCGAGGGCCTCTCTAACACGACAGTGTGGTGCGTTATACGGTCGTAGACCAGACGTTGTTCCGCCGACAGCGTCTGCGGCTGGATAGGCCCGCGCAGGGCACACGGAAGTAACCGATCGCAGCAGTGCATGCCCTGCACCCATAGGAGGCCAGGCACACATGACCATCCAGGAGCGCAGACCTCACGTCAGCACCCAGCAGGCAGGGTCCCACGCAAGCATCCGACGGGCAAGGTCCCACGCAAGCACCCAGCGACGCACGTCCCACGATATACCCACGGCGCAGGTCCCAAGCCGGCATCAAGCAGCGCGGGCTTCGCGTACCAAGAAGTGATGAGTTGAAGGCCAGACCGGCGTTGTTGATGAGGATGTCGACCGAGCCCCACTCGGCCACGACCTGGCTGAAGAAGGCTCGCACCTGGTCCTCTTGGGCCAGGTCGCAGGTCACCGCGAGGAACCGGGCCTGGTCAGTCCCCAAGGACTGCTTCAGCGTCTGTCGCCAGGACGATGGTTACTGGTGTGGTAAGGCTCGCGGACCGCAAAGACCGTTCTGCCTCCGCAAGATCATGTCACCAGCGACAGACGCTAACCCCGTGTAACGCTAATCGACGCGGGCTTTGCATCCATCGTCCCTGCCGTATGTGCACGCGCTGTGCGAGACACCTGTCGGGCGCGCGTCCGGCGGAAGAATGACGCAGCCGTTAGACGAGACCCGGCTGAGCGCGCCAGTGACGTGCTGTTGGACACCATGCCCCTGGTGGAGGCTTTTGCCTTTGATTTTGATTACATCACTGACGACATGACGAGTCATGTCGAGTGACGGAGTACCCTTCAGCGCTTGAGAACTGGAATACGCTCAACCACTGCGCACATGTGGATTCACGTGGCGGACATGTAGATTCAGTCCAAGAAACCGACTGACCGTGCGTGCTGACCGCGCGCACTTGCGCCGACTCGTCAGCGACGGCCAACCAGTCATCGGCGAAAAGAAGGCAGGGCTGGTGCGGGTAGAGGCGGCCGTGTGGCGACTTTGCACGGCCAAACCGCACGCAATTTTTTTCCGTTGAGCTGGAACTAGTATACTTGGGTGGTACGATCAGATATTGCACAACAAGCTAATTTAGCAAAGGTTGCCAAAATCATCCTTTCAAAAAATGTTTAGTTGATTTTTTTGCCAGCCCATCCATCCATTAGCTACCAATTGGTGTTAGTCAAGCATCTTTTCTGGCGAGTTGAAAGGTGGTTAATCGTATTTCTCCTTCCAAAAAGATAAGAGCAACCCTCTAATAATTATTGCGCCAGGTTTTTCTCGCCCTTTTCGACCCGATTCTTGAGAGACTCTTGAGAGAGCCATATGAGGCTGCCTATTTCATCACCAACTTTTCCTTTATGCATCGAGAGAGCGGAAACCGACAACATACAGCTTTTTACCTGGCAGAATAGAAACCAGCTCTATCGGACAAGTAGCTTGGGCTTTGTCTCGCGGCTCATGCAAAATAAGTGGTACATGTCTAATGAGCGCCGCCTGGCGATCCATGCATAGCTCATCGCATTTGAACTCACGTGGTATACGCTGACTGTCCTCCGGTGTATGCACTTTCAGGAGCATGCACCGGGGGGTGGGGGGCGCAACTTGCTGCTATCCGTCCATTAAAATGAATTATCCACCAAAACCAAAGGATCCAAGACCAATTATCCACCAAAACCAAGTTTGGTGGTTTCGAATGGCATTAAGTTCTACTCGGGTATTGCAAGCTTTACATACACTTGGGCCTTCAAAAGCTATCTGAAAACCTGACACATTAGTTCAAAACTTTGTTAACTTGACGTAAAGATGTATGTTTTGTTGTTACATGACAGATGAGTTAGCCCCGAAACCAAGTAGATCAAAGCAATAGGACGCCAACAGTAACAACTTGTTTTCTGGAAATGGCTTCATGCTCACGAAATCCTTTCGTGCGTAAATTCATGTTCCAAAAGCCACGGCGGTGTTGCTACGTGTTCCTGCAGAATCAGCTGAGCAATGCTGTCCAAATTTAAGACGTCCATATAAAAGTCTCGAATGGTGGAGTTAAGTGATTCGGACTGTTTTAGTACGCAATGACCTTGATTAAGAAATCACTGCCTTCGACATGTATTGAAAACTACCTTAGTTTCGACGCTAATGATTCCGACGCTAATCATAGTCCAAGGTAGCGAAGTTTATGAGCAGTGGCGTATCTCTAATAGTACTCTAGCTTATTTTCAGCCGAAATAAATGCAGAAGACTACATTTCATTTCAGAAAGGAGGCCTCTAGAATCCCTCTAACCCTGCTAAGTGCAAGTCGTTTACCATGACTATGAGGCGTGCAGCCGTCTATTCATTGTAGGGTCCATGCCATTAGTCTGGGGCGACTGGAAGCCGTGGGCGACTTGGCTGATGGTCTTATATCCCAGACCAAGCTTTGCCAGACACATCGACTCAAGTACTTAAATACCAACCAAGACCGAGGCCGTGATGAATGGTCTCGTTGCGCTCCAGGCAGATGGGCTGGAGACATGTGGTTTTAGACGTACCTAGAGCCTTTTTAGTACGGTCATCTTTTCCATGTTAGGATATTGCTGTGTCAACTGACAGCGTACAGCGAAAGCAAACTGAAACAGGGTGGAAACAGTATGGCATCGATTCCTTACATGAATGGGATATCCCGCGCACTCGTTCGCCGTGCCTATGTCTTGAGCCTGTACAAACGTGCTCCACACGTTCCGCCGCGTCACGCCGTTGAAAAGCAGACGCCGCCTACTAGATTTTAGCTTTCCTTGTTGCAGTTGGCGTAACAAGGAGACCAGGAAGAGCTCTAGGTGTTATGGTCTTGCCATTCCAAAGGGCTGACATGATCGACGAAGGCGTTCTGCTGGCATTCCAACAAATATCAACGAGATGTTACCGAAATGCCTAATGCGTATTTCTGTGTTGATTTCTTATGAGAATCCCGCTCCAAACTTGCAAGGTGCATAACAAACACTGTATATGACAAGCATTTGCCTACCGAATTTCCTTAGGTATCTTTTTCAAACAATGAATTAATGGGACACCGAAGACTGACATACAACACCGAGATTAACACCCATTCGTTTAGCGTTCACGCCCCAAGCTGGTGGATGAATGTCCTGTCCGGTGATGACCAGTGACGCGCACTTGTAACATCAGGACTGTATCTGGCGTTTGGACCTCTGACTTGGACTGTCAGTGGGACTTGAGCCTGTTGCCAATAGATGAAAATAAACTGAACTTAGTACCAAACGTCACCGTAAAAAGACACTCCGACGGCCGACCTGATGTACGATTGATCATGAACGTTGCCTTCGGCCCGGCCAGACTTGCCTGCAGTTTCTCCGAGCTGCGAGCACAGCCGGCGACTCTGACCCCTGCCTGGACCAGGGCCCGGACCAGGGCTTCACCGATGCCGGAGCTGACGCCGGTGATAACGGCAACACGGCCCCTGTACCTCTCCATTGTGCACGAGCGTCCTGCCGGAAAGGAAGGCGCGCCGGAATCACGCCGTGTCGAAACCAATCCATGTCGTCGATGATTCAGCGCCGCTTGGCCAGATCACATCCAGAGCTGGTCATGCGTTCGCTTAAAAAATTCTCATGAGCTGCTGAACGCAAATGGAAGGTGAGGTGGTCAGCTGTGAAGACAAATAACTGCAAGGCCATAAATGACTGGGAGGTTTGCCTGGCAACTTCGCACAGCATATGACAACTGTAAGATAATGAACAGGCTCAACTCTGTCAAATGTCTGGGGCGGAACTGCTATCCCTTTCCTTGGGCATATTCATGAATCTATTCATGTAACTGTTGGTCTCTAGTGCAGCATTGCCACATTGGAGCCACATTTTGCCGTCATTAGTCACCTCAACGTGCGAAACAAGTGACAGATGACCGGTTGTGCAATGCTCGGGCTATGGAACTGGCTACAGCCCCGAAAATCCCGCCGGGCCGACGGGCACGGCTTCAGCCCAGCCAATGGCGCCTCGGCTATAGGCTCGTTATAAGTATGCCTTCTGCAAAATAACGTCGATGGACTGTTTGTCACCGTCACGCCTTGCAGCGCCGTAAGGTGGGCGACGTGAGGACATAGTTGTTTTCGTCGTGCAGACGACACAAACACGTTAGAGAATGGGCGCTGATGTCCTCGGAAATCTATGCAAATGGATCCTATCAGCGCACCGAAATGTGTATCTTGTATCGCATTTAGCAAGGTGAGTTCACTGATGGGGCGTCCGCGCTAATTCACGAATCCTGTTGCTTAAAAATTCGCTGGCTATGGGCTTAGGCAAGCCTTGCCAATCTCATTCAACACAACGCATCCTTTTGTTGTCCTAGTGTGACCGTAACAAAAAAACACACGGAACGCACCCTTTGAGGGTAGCTATTGGTTGTCACGATCCAGGGTGAAAGTCTGTGTAGCGTTTATTTACCAGTCTCTCTTGGTTTCGGGCACTGGGCGTGATATGTGAGAATGGGTCTCAAGAGCCGACATCGGCCACTTCCTGGCCAATTACTGACATTGCTATCGGCCAGAGATTGTTGGGCTCACTCAGGTTTGGTGATGTGCCTGTCTCGTGTCGACACCCCCCGGTTTGTCCAGACAGGAATCTGATCTCGACCTATGCTTCATTTTTCGGTTGCCTTTTCGCAACCGTCACGTTTCAGCTTTACGTTTCCATGTTAACTAAACGGGCGACGTGAAATTTGGGAACATCGCAGCATGACAGTAAAAATCGGCCTGAAACCTCGAGCTTCCACCTGAAAACAGAGAACAGTTGGCGGTAGGTGCTTCGAAAATGTTCCAGCGCAACTTTCAAGAATTTTGACAGTTGTTGCCAAAAGCTGCATGGCGGTGCGGTCAGCTGATATAAAGATAAGAGCCTGTCATGACCACGGCTGGCCCGGCTGGAGCGCCCAGAACATATCTGGCTAGTTGATGTTGAGACAAGCTCAACCTACTGCCTTGCTGTGAGCTATTCCTACGAATTGAGATCTGTAAGACTTAAGGCCTTTGCTTCTTGGTTTGTTCGCCCTCCCCCTTCACCGCCCCTTCACCCCCCTCCTCCATCCCCTCCCCCACTTCACCTCCGCCCCCTTCCCCCCTCCACCATGATTTTCCCAAACCACGGGGTTGCTAAAGGCATGGAGAACCGGAAAACTCGCGTTTGGCAGAATGTTTTTTTCCGTCGAACCAACACTGCCATGAATTATTTTATGAAAGTCCCACTACGCCGCTGGCACTAGAATTCAGGTCACAGCCTTGCTCCGCGATGTCTGAAACTAGTCAATGATATGTTGTGCCGACCCCTGCGAAGCTGCCCATGTCCCCGGGATGGGCGCGCTGAACACCGCGGCACCAGCTCTCCGGCTCGTGCCCCGCGACGCAGCACAGCATCGGCTCACCTCCGACAGGCGTGGGCTGACCAGCGGCGGGGCGGCTCTGACTGCGAGCGGGCGGAGGACCCGGCAGGTCAAAGCGCGGCAGCTCGCCTGGCGAGCAGCGGGGTCTGCCGGCTGGCGGCGGGGGACGAGACAAGTGCGCGCGTGCCGACGCACCGCGACCTTAACCGGCGGCTGCGTTTAACGGCTGATTGGCGCGCCTGATTCGACGGTAACGAGCAGCGAGCTACTTAGCTGCGCACGTGAGCAGCCGAAGATCGGGGCCAACACCTGCCGGCCGTGGCCCGTCGACAGCTCACTTATCGTCTGCTGCGGCACCTCATCCGTCGTTATACGCTGCCTCCCTGATGGCCGCTCACAGCTGCGGATTGGCGTAGCTGTAGTCGTCTGCTGGCTATGCATGTCGACCGGTGACTTCGGAGCAAGGGCTAGTTGATCGCAGCGATGGACGCGGGGTGGCCAGCGCAACCACGTCCCGAATTTCGCGGAAATGTAGTCGTTGAGTGGAATCCTTGTGAAACCCGGTGACCCATGGCAGTGATAGATCCCGGTGGAATCGGAAGCGGTCCAGCGGCGATGGCGCACGTGGTGCCTTGTCACAAGCAGGGCTGCTGTTGGCGAAGTGAGGGGTGGGACTGCTCGAGGGATTTTCGGGCCCGCGGCCTCCTAGTTTTGAAAACCGGCTTCAGAACAGAAATTCGCAATGCATTTCTTTGCGCCCTATTTTTGCACTCGCATAATTCCATTCATCAAAATTCGTATCTCATATATTAGTGGGTCATTTATTTGTACGCACATCTCTAAATCGCAAGCATTCGTGTGGATAAATCATCACCCGCGCAAATCATGGTCGAAATCGTTTAAGTCACTCCTGCCGTCGCAGAATCCCCGTCAACACATACCGCACAGCATCTCTTCTTTTACGAAGCATTCCCATTGCATTTCTATTCAAACGCACATACATTGTTCGCGCACATACACGACTCTTCATATCAAAATATTCCACATGCATGTTTGATACCATACTTGCTTACACATTTTTGCGCATCATTTTTTCTCATACCCATTGTTTGCGATACATATTTCTTGGTGTGTACAGACCCCGATAATAAAGGGCCCGACGGGCTGGTGAGAGGTCGTATTAATGGTCCTGGCCCTGTGAGCCGAGTTCTCAAATGCCAATCACAGCACTCTTTGCGCCGATTGTCCCCCCCCCCCCCCCCGAGTCGACGAGGATCTAGTCGGTTCCGTCTCGGTCTGAATCTGGGGGCATATTTCCCGAGCAGGGATAAGCACCTGATTTATATTGGTCGGGGCCCTTGAGTGAATGTGAGCCCGTGTCGGTCAGTGGCCCACATTGCCTAACAGGGATCCTGTATCGGTAAAAGGTCCCGAGTTGGCCAGGGTAGCGTTCGAGTAGATGAAGACAGGCCCGATTGGCTCGTTGGGATCGAGGATCAATAGTGCGATTGGGAGGCTGAAGGCCACGTACAGCTCAAAGAGTTACAGCTGTTAGTCACATCACGCCGGGGCCCGCACGATTTGCATTGATCTGGGCCGCTGTTGCAATGAGGGCCCTGTGCCAGGCAGGGCCCACAATGCTTAACAAAGGGTCCTGTGTCAGCACCAGGTCCCGAGTCGGTCAAGGGAGTATTTGATGAATAGGGACATAGACTGGGCTCCGAATCCCAGATGTTTTCCTGCGTTGGTCGGAGGCTCTCTGAAATAAAAGGAAGCATGAGAGCCCATGGTGAGCCCCCAAGAAGATAATGGAAGGGCCCTGTGCCACTCAGGGTCTCTAGTACAGAACAGAGGTCCTCCACCCCACTCCAACCACTTGCCCGTTAATCGGGAATGGAGTATCTGTGTCAATCATTAGACCACCTGCTGCGATAAGGGGTCATGCTGAACCAATCAGGGCTACTGGATCAATCTTGGGCCAACTGCCGGGTCAGAGGGCTTTCCGCGTCAGGGCGGGGCCAGATGTAGGATGCATCAGACCCTCCGGATCGACCAGGGAACGCCGCCCAGTGTTGCAAAAATGGCAGCCGGTAGGCACCCTGAGCTGGGACGAAGTGGCCTTTCAGTGCTTGGTCGGAGACGAAAATGTGCCCCTATTGTACTACCCACGGGGCTCCTTGCCGATAAAAAGCGTCTCAGTGTCCAAAAGAGTAGATTTAAATGAGGCCAAAAGTGAAAAAGGGTAGCCCCTGTTTGTCTGAGAGCGTCCTGTTGTTTTGAAAAATCCACTTTCTGGATGAATTACATAGGAAGTTTTCAGCCTGCGCGCTAGCAATCTTAGCGGTGAGAACAGCTATGGGCGGCGCTGCAGTTTTCATAAAACCGAACGGCGTTGGCCGCTGCCAACAGCACCAACCGATGAGCGCCGCGCACGCGAGGGCGACCGTCATGAAATAATGCTTCCGAAAGTTTTGTTCGCACTCGTACTGCTCATTGATTAGGCTGGGGCGTCTACCTCACCTTTATAATTGTGCTGTTGTCCTCAAAACAGATTAACAATTACAGCAACACGAGCGATAAGGGTTTTAGTTTGCTTGAAAATGTTGAAAGCATTCAAAGATACCTCTTCCAGATGCGTCATAATTTTCGTCCGCCTGTTGGCTGCCGCCTAGCGCTAGCCTCGGGACCGACGCCGCGTGGATTATGGAGGCTGCATCGCCAGGCGTTGGGTTTTTTGGTTCTAAGACTTGTAAGCGAATATGCTCAAAACTACGCCAAATGAATCGATTCCGATTGAAGGTCAAATCTTTCCAGATGAACAGGGTTTGGTTATGTTAATGCGATGTTCTGACCCCATTTCGACCTACAGTCTGCATTCACGGGGTCCTCCAGATCTCTGTAGGACCCAGTCAAGGACTGTCACGCAGTCTCTGAAATCTATTGGTTTTGAAAGATTACACTCAATTATGTCATGTAGTTATCACGAATCTTTCCATATTTATATTTATTTTGCATTCAATGCTTATTGGTGTGCACTTCTTCACGCATCAAGGAATCTCGCTGCGGTCAGCAACATTTTTTCCTTATTATTCTCACTGCCCAGGTGCATTAGAAGGGTCTCATATCACCTCACCGCGCAGTAATTATCAACCCATGAGTTCCTGCATTTTCCATCTTCAAAATAAGGAGCTGTTTAATACCGTGGTTCTCTCCTGCTGGCTCAGGTGGACGCGGTTTGTACCTCTCAATTGGAAAAGTGTCAGACGCGATCCCACCAGTCACAGACATACGGGCTCGCGCCCCAAATGTCATGATTACACGTCTCGCCTCCGACTTTTAGTTCAGTTTCAGGGCTCTCTTTTTCGCAACATTCATTTCATTCAACCCGTCGTTTACTGGACCGCGCCGTTTGACGTACCTTTGTTTTTGCTTTAAAACTCGGAAAAAAGAGGTGGCCTTGGTCTGAAATTGTCAGTATCTCTCATCAAATATGGAAAAAGCCGAGGCTGTTTCCCATAATAGTGTCGCACACTGTTCAACTGCTGGCAAATACCAAAGCTTTTTGCGTTTATTTTCTATTTCTTTTGTTTTGACACGCTTTGGGAGTGCGACTTGTTTGTGAAGCCCGACGTGTGTGAAGGTCATAGTGGCTTAATGGAAAGCTCAGGTCATCTTAAATCAGGTTACAGCGGAATTACAAGAAGACCTCTGGTGGCAAATTAGATTTCGGGCATGAATGGTGTTTTTGCATCCTTAATCGGACTTATCCGTGCTGGTGAATTGCATTTCGCGCTACGAACTTATAACAGTTAGGATCAGGCCCGAGCCGTCCTGTCGCGTCTGTGTGACGTTACATACACAGGCGCTGAAGCTACAGCGTCAGGTTTTATAGGCTGCTTGATGTGGTGATGCGAAGCGATTTCAGCCTGCCTCTTGCTGATGAGTCACAGCTTGTGATATACGCAGCACATTTCAACATTCAGGTCATCCTAAATCATGCTAATAGGCTGCAGAACATAGTAACTTCCCACCGGAGTCGATGCTGTCTGCCGACACGCACTCCGCATTGCTGCACTCTTCCGTCCTTGGCCAGAATATTTCAGAATCATCCCCTTCGCGAGCGACCTTAACACGCAATACCGCGAACGCATCCTAGCACCGTCACATTGCCCTGACACGAGCAGAGGACTCTGTTATGCGTCACCTGACTTAGACGCTCCGGCCATTGTGTCCCATCCTCACCAACCAAGCTTGAGCCCGGCCTGGCGGAGAAGGGCTGGGCGGCCCAACCTGATACACTAAAGAGCGCTCACAATTGAGTCGGTTAATGAGGCGCGTGATGCTAACAGGCAATGATCAGTCAGGCATGAAGAGCAGTTCTACACCATCCTCATCTTATCACGAGGACGTGACCAAAGCACGGCCAGCTACGAAACCAGCTACGAAACCCGGGCTTGTCGCACAGCGGTGAGGTGCCTAGTGCAGTATGCTTCCCGCTGCACATGAACGCCAAATACCATAACGATGGCTATGTGGGATATTACAAATAAAAAAAACACACTAGCCAGGACATTCATTAGCCCAGAATGAGCGACGTAAGGAAGCTTGTCAGTGACTTATCCTGACAGTAAACCCCCACAACATGACCAGCGCAGACCGTCGCGCCGGCAGGCATGGCGGCCGCCACACGGAAATCCCCGCCAGCCGGAACAGCGCCGCGACCGCCCCCGCAGCCACGATAAGCGGCTCACTCGGAGTCGGTTTGGGAGACCGCACCGCCGCGTGGACGCCGGTCGTGCGTCACAACCGCCCCAACATCGCGGCCAGATGCCTCCAAAGACGAGATTGTAGACGGCTATAGTCAAGTGTATCCACTTTTACTATATATATATATATATATATATATATATATATATATATATGTATATGTATATATACAGAGAGAGAGAGAGGAGAGAGGAGAGAGAGAGGAGAGAGAGAGAGAGAGAGAGGAGAGAGAGAGAGAGGAGAGGAGGAGAGAGAGAGAGAGAGAGAGAGAGAGAGAGATAGAAGAGAGAGAGAGAGAGAGAGAGAGAGAGGAGAGGAGAGAGAGAGGGAGAGAGAGAGAGAGAGAGAGGAAGAGAGAGAGAGAGAGAGAGAGAGAGAGAGGA